AAACTGGAGTGAATGGAGTGGACACCTCAGAAGACACCCAGATAAACATCAAAGTCCTTACCTTTTCTTTGTGTTGAGATAATTCTAGAAAGGAAGGTAACAAACTGTTAAAAACAGTGTTGACGAGGAGACAGCGCTCAGAGAGAGACAGGTTTCAACTTCTCTCACCTGCAGGAAGAGAGCGTCGCTGGATGCAATCTCATTCTCGATGGCGATGACCGCCTGAGAGAAGGTGAGGATGTCTCTGGTGATGCCGTCTGACTTTTTCTTCACCAGCTCCTTCTTCTCCTCCTCCTCCTGACGCAGGGAGGCCAGTCGGGTTTCTTCTTCTTTCTTCAGGAACTCTCGGAGCTGATCGAACTCCTGTCGGATCTGCTTCTCCGTGGCCTGAGTTTGATTCTTAGACACCAAAAAAATATGACAAGACACATAAGAATACATTTTTAATACTTTTTAGTCCTTTAGCTATTTATTTTATTTATCTTTTGTTTTTCAACATTCCTTGTCTGTTCTGCATCTAGCACTTAAGCACATTTTACAACTGACAAGTTGAAAATAAAAGCATTTGTGAAGTATTTTTCCGAGCTGAGCACGACACTTGAAGGCACCTACAACCCAAAGACTGTTTACACACTACACCCACTCCTCATCCAGGACCATGCAGGTCTGCCTCTGGTTTCATGGAACTGTGTTTATTGATACCTTGATGTGAACAGTTGTGTCATCACACTCCTGCTTGGCCTGATACAGTTGACGCAGGTTCTTCTTCAGAGGAATCAGCTCTTTCTTCAGCTCCGCCTAAAAGCATGAGGGCAGAAAATAGGAAAACATCAGAGAACACGACTTCTACATTAATCACATATGTTTCATATATGTTTGTTTCATATAAAAACATTTTGGAAGGGTTTTTATTGCATATCATGCTTTCTGTTTATTTAAACTAACTTTAAGCTATATAACCACACACAGATTACCTTGAGGTCCTGAGCCCCCTCCTCCAGAGGACATATCTGGTGTCCTTGGTGCTTCTTGGAGGTTTGACACACACAGCACATGACCTCCAGGTCATTATGACAGAAGAGCTTGAGAACTTCTCCATGTGTGATGCACTTCTCCTCCAACACCACCACCGTCTCCCCCATCGTTCCACCCCCCGTCCATGTCCCCGCTGCAGACGCCTGGCGCTCCTGGTCCTTCAGAAATGAGTCAGCCACGTTCTTCAGAGCCAGACTGACCGTTGGCTCGGTTAGAGAGCATTTCCTCCTGCAGACAGGACACTCGCGTCGGGCCTTCTTTTTGTTCCAGAACTGCTGCAGACAGGCGCGGCAGAAACTGTGGCTGCACTTGAGGACAACGGGCTCCCTGAAGATGTCACAGCACACTGGGCAGGACAGCTCCTCTTCCAGCATGGAGCCCGAGCGTGAGGAAACAGCCCGGGGTCGAAGGGCGGAAGGTAAATGGCGACTCTGAAGGAAGGAAAGTTTTCCAGGCTGAGAGGAAGATCGTGGGCGCAGCGCCATTGTACAGTAGGTTCCTGTAGGTGGGAGGCTGCTCCTGTGGCTCGGTGTCCCAGTTAGGGAGAAAGGAATCTGTCCAAGTGATGTTGCTCTTTCCTGAGAGAGTAATGTGGAACAGTTATAAAGGCAACCATGTTTATAGATCAACAGCAACTTGAAGAACTAGTTCATTAGACTGGTAGTAAATACAGGAGGTGTCAACACCAGTGTGGAGCAGAACAACCTTTAGACCTGAGCAGATGTTTGAAGACATGTTTCTGTCCTAAATAATATTTAAATACAACTACTGAAAACATTTTGTTAGCCAAATGTTTAGCATTCCACTACAGCTGTCACAGCATCACAGATCAAGGTAAGGTGAAGGGTCTTGCCTAAGGATACTATGGCATGTAGACTAACTAAGGATGTGGAATCTAACCCACAACCATCCAGTAAAAACATGACACAAGTTGCCAGCAATACCTGCAAAACAGAAGCACTAAGGGTCAGGCAGTGGAGGGCCATGGAGATCTGCTCTGTTGACAAACATTTCTATCTCTATTAGGATCAGTTTTAAGATGTTTCTGTTGGTTTTTAATATTTAATGAGTCAGCACGTCCTTATGTATCTCTGCTTTCAAACATTTATTCTCCAAAGCCCTGAGGTCATCACAACAGATGGTTCTGAGATCCTCACTGATGTACAGCTACTCTTCATTTTTATTTTTTGATTAATCTATTACGAATTATTCTGTTTGTTGTTGATGTCCGACTTAGTAGAGAATTTTGGTCAACAATTTCACTTAACAACATTCACTTAAAAAAGTAACCTATCCTTTAGGTCCAACTTCTCTGAAGCAATAAAAGTGACGGGGTGAGACAGAGGCATCTGGTTGAATTGTAGTGACCACTACAGGTGACAGTGTATAAACTTCAGTAGTCAGTAGAGCTGCGTGGCTTGTGTTAACTGTTATAAATTTATTTTGTGCGGAAACCTTTAGGGTTTGGGTTTATATCCGAATCCTGCTGAGCTTCAACATCACTATCATGTTCACCTGAGATCTTCTTACTCTGACGGCCTGTCGGTAGTTGAAGTGATTTCACTCTTAAATGTCAAAATGTCATCAATATTTCAGGAGCAGAAACACACACACACACACACACACACACACACACACACACACACGCCTCTGGGGACAGTTTGTGTGGATGGTGTAAAACAATCCAGCAGACGACAACATTGTGTTCTTATCGGCTCGAATAACAACAAAAAAAAGAAACACTGCCGGCTGTGTTATTATTGCAATACAATTAGACGATGACAACAGTGTTAATGCAAATAATTGTCTTCTTAGTGTTACAGAGTTTTAGCATCACTTTTTTACATAACCATATTTAGATACTCATGAACTAAAGAGTGAAACAAAACTAAAAAAACAAAGCTTCATAAACTCAGACAGACCTAAAAGAATAAGACAAACGCTTTTGTGTTCACTGTCCTCTGCTGTGTTGTTGTAGACGCAACACTGTCTTTGTCCTGTTGTGAACACAAGTGAAAGCAACAAACGATGGAAGTAGTTTCCACCTGATCCAATGGCTACTAGTTTGTCTTTTTCAGCACCATGCACCAAATGTAGACAGCAACAAAAAAAAATCTTTACTTCACAGAATCATATCCTTCATTACACATCTTGCCCCTCCCCATCCTATAATACTGTTTTCTGTAATGCTTTAAAACACTGACAAAGACTGAAGAAGAATGAAACAACATCACGTCACTTCTTATAAAAACAAGTCAACGCCACCTGCAAACCTGGGAACCACTCTGACCTCTCACTTCCATGTAGTGATCTCCAGTCAGAGGTAAAGTAATACTGATTCTCCGTAACACTGGTAACTGTAGCAGACTAATATTGGGCTCATGCTTCTGCTGTCTGATCGTCCACAGAGTGGGTCAGAATAACATGTTCGTCACTCTCTCTTCACATGCACCGTCTGGAGCTGGTCCCTCTATTATTGGTCAAAAAAAAAGACAGATAAGGTGAAGATTTCTGATAATGTGCTTTTGTTAAGCTCATCATCAGACATGATGCAGACCATGACTTGAGCAACTGTGGACACAGAACCACAAGAGAGCATGACCCAGACCCCAAAACAGGAATGTAATGCTGCTGTTGTTTTCACACTGAACACAGACACACACTCTCACACACTCAGAACATCATGGATACATATCACTGTTCCGAAAACACACACCTTATTTCTTGGACCAGATAAAAAGTCAGCAGATTCAACAATGATCAAAATAAAACTCCAGCACATACATGTAAAATCAATGACCCTGTACTGTATGTCAGAGAGCCCTGTCTTGTACTGTGATGACTGCCCCCCCCACCTGGTCAAGTATTTTGGGAAAATTTAACTTTTGCCACCTGACGTTCACTTTTCACACCATCAGGTGACTAAAGCTGTTCCACAACCATGGACGACAACAAAGACATGCAGAACAGTGCAAAAAGGGAATTCTCATGGACGTGCTTATGTTGTTCTGTTGAAGAAAAAGCTGGAAGACATTAAAAACCACTTGAGAAATCTCCATAATCACTTTTGTCTCCCATTAACCCGCAATATCCTGTCTGATCAGACCGACTGTCTCAAAAGGAAAACGTCTAAATTAAAAAATGGAACAAATAAATGCCGGAATAAAAAACAAAAAAACGAAAGTTGTGACGGTAGTGTTGCATTTCCTAGTAGTGATGAGCGTTGTGGGCTTCCCACACACTGAGGTCGTTCCACTCCATTAGTGACTGTGGTTAGACTCTTCCGACCTTAGCATCCCCGATGGCACCCCAGACGTCAAAAACAAACTCATCAGGAAAAGCAAAGTCTCCCAGTGTTTCATCTAACGCCTCGGCAAACTCATCAGGGTTCTTTTTGTCCTTTCCCAGTTCAACCATAGTGGCCGCTGAGGAAACAGGTGAGGTCAGAGGTCAAAGAGCATTAGGTAAAGAACAAAAAGTAAATGCACATAGAATAAAACTTAGAAAACTGTGATTTTCACAGAGATCAGAAGTCGTTCTGTACTCACCAAGCTCGCTGTCTCTGATGCCCATGTAGCTCTCCAGCAGGTCGTCCACCTTCTCAATGGCCTTCTCCTCAAAAGCAGAAGGCTGGAAAAAAAACAACAACATGCACTCATGATGATACATGTTAGTTAGTAGTAAAACTGGTACTGTAAAGAGACAGTATTTACCAGCTCCTCCACAGTAGCAGGACCTTTGGATCGCAGCCGAAGAGTTCCTCTTCCTGTTCCCAGCTGGACCCCTGACGCTGACCTGGATCCTCCAGACCGCTGGCCAATCATATCTAGGGACGTAACAATGCATTGTTAACCAGTTAAAGTTCAGTTTAAATTTAAAAAATGAATTGTGCATCAAGGCATAAACTGGTCAGACCATGACCTACATAATCTACGAATGTATTTAATTTGTCAGGAGCTCATTTTGCTAGAATAAAATCATATCGTATTGTGAGTCCAGTGTATTGTTAGATCCCTAATCATAGCTTTACAAAACAACCAAAAATCTGATGCTGAGTCATACGTCCTTGGTTCCTGAACTTAATGTTTAGCTCATTTTCTTAGCACTGCTGGTTTGTTTCCTTCTGCACCTACCAAAGGCCTTCAGAGGCTCCACCAGCTTGATAGTAAAGAGTTTCCCTTTGGGCAGCTCCTTCAACATCTTGGCGACCTCGTAGTGTCGACAGCCGATCAGTCGATGCCCGTTGATCGACTCGATCATGTCGCCAACGTTGATGACCTGGATCTGGTGAATCACACTTCCTTCACGAATTCTCTAAAAAAACAACAAGTATTAACTAAATTAACAGTATTTACCAATTATGTTTTGCTCTATTCGACTCATATCTTCTGTCCATTCCCTGTCTGTGGTCCCTGACCTTAATGAAGGCGTAGCCGGCTCCATTATCGGTGATGGTCAATCCCAGAGCGTCCTCTCCTTTAAACACCTCAATTTCCTTTTTTTGGCCCTTGATGTGGGCAAAAATAAAGTCCTCAAGTCCAATTTGACCTCCCAAAAGTTTATCCATGTCCACTTTGTGAGTGTTCAGTGTACAAAACATGACCTGTGGACAGACATAACATCCAAGTGAGATTTTGACTGAAATTCTTATTAAAAATAAAGAGACACACGTTTCACTTTTCACCTTTAAATAAAGTTAAGTCAGAGTTTTGAAGGAATGTTTAAGTGTCGCACGGAGGGGGCGTCTTGACAAGTCATATCAAAACCCAGTGCATACGAGATACTAGGAGGCTGCTGTTAAAAAATATATATTTTATTGTCAATTTCACGAATTTTGATCCCTAATAATCAACACTGACTGACCTCAGATGGAGGGATCCCGAAGGCCTCTCCAATCTTGGCGTAGAGCTCCCGCACATTGCTGAAGCCCTCAATCCGTCCAGTTGGGCTGCCGTGTGCAAGCTGCGTATGAAAGATAAGGCGGGGTCGCATGCTGCTGGGTGGAGGAGGCAGACCCTCTGAGGTGGCGCCTTCTCCTAGGCCGACACCACCTCCGTCAAGCCCATCCATACCTGGCACATTGAGACCTGCCCGTATGGGCTCCGCCTCCTCGTTCTCAACTAAGGGGGATGCTTTCTTCCTTCTTCCCAAGCCCAGAGGCATTGTAGTCCCACAGGTAGAGCAGAGGGAGCGGAGGAGATGAGCTGCTCTGAGGAGTTATGGAGCTGTGACCCAGACCAACATACACCTATTCAGCCAAATCAGCTGTAGGTCTGCAGGAAAAAAGTGAGGTCATCCAGACCAGCTAAGAAGCTGTCTCAACCAGGCTTCGTATGAAACGACCAGTCTTGGCATGAGAGCTGCTCACATTGTTGTATCAGTCAGTGGTGGGTCTTCAGCTGTAACACCAGACAAAAATCTGAATGAATACACATTCCACTGAACAGTGATTTAAACATCCTCAAATATCCACTAAAAAAACATCTTTGCAGAAAACGGGATAATACAGGGAAAGAAAACACCATTATACAATTCTAGCTGTCAATTCAAATGACAGAATGAATTATTATGGTTTTAGTTAATTTATTTAATATATGTATGCCTATTTATTTTGTAACTATTTGTTCCTGTACATCAAATTTAGATGCATTTAGATGCATCTTTTTACAGGGCAACACTAGCATTAAGTAAACATGATGTTACACTGTGATTTACTAGCATTAAGTAAACATGATGTTACACACATGATGTTAAAAGAAGGCTTAAATCACAGCCTTCTTTTAAGATCACTAATTTGCTGGTATTGGCTTTAATGTGACACACCTTTCTCTTCTAACATCTACATAGGCTCAGGTAGCCAACAAGTTAGCTTTTAGCTGCTTAGAACGGAAGCTAAATCACCGAGAGATTCCCAATCCATATTGAAAAGGATTAGTGAATAAACTGTACCGACAGTGCTGGTCGGTATTTGTGGTTAGTTACATTAACTAATACCTGCTAATGTGGACCCGAAACGGTAGTACACAGCCCGGGCCGGTGCCTCTTACCGGAGCAGAGTTTCGGACAACTATCGTTAGCTGTACCTCCTCCTGTTTGTTAGCTTAGCCTGCTAACTACACCGCTGGGAGTTATTTAAAAAGATAATAAGCTGCCAGTGAATGTCCAGCTTAATTTGCGACTCCTTTTCTTTTAAACTCAACTCTTCCTGTGGCAGATAGTTTTAAAAACAGGAGAATATGTGTGTGTCGGAATGTAGAAGTGGATTTATCCTGTCTTCCCAGTAGGGGAGGAACAGCGAGGCATTCACTGATCCTCGGAAATTACAATTTTGAACAATATAGTTTTCTTGTGAAGGATCACTGATATCAACATACGGGTTTCTTTTTAACTTATTACTGTAGGCTGTGTTAAACCAATTTATCTCTCTGTACAACATTGACTATTAACTCTCAATCTAATGTTCTTTGCTATGGTAGAAATTAGTGCAGATTTTTAAAATATAGCTATTAATAGTTACAGTATATGGCCTTTAGCTTTGGTGTGTAACGTGTATACGCTGCCATCTTGCGATGATAAAGCGTACTAACAATTGTCCTGTCGTTCAGGCTCAAACTAGACTTGTTCCAAATATCCAAGATACATAATAAAACATACAAAATAAAAAGTACATTAGTAGAACATGAACAACACATTGGTAATATAATAACATTCATATTTTTAATATTATTATACCAAAATCTGTCAAATGCTTCCAGATAAAAGTTGACCCAAAATAAACTACATTCCACCCATTTAGTTGCAAATTTAGCTAAAATTCCCTTGGAAAGATGTTATGTACTTAACTCAATTTAGGAGAAAAAAAGACGTTTTCTTCTCTGTTATGAATACACACAGACAGACATAAGGCTGGTAATAGCCGGTTTATTTATTCAGGGAATGAAAATCATCACAGCATTAGAAAACTTATTAAAATTTCCATCACCTTATGAAATTATAGGTGTGTGAAAAACTATTGAAATCCTGAATCCCCACCCTGATGAATTTTAATAACTACACACAGGAGGTCATAAGACAAAACAAACACAATACCATACCATAATAAAATTATTAATCTTTTTTCCATACCATAATAAAATTATTAATCTTTAAAAAAAAAAAAAAGAGATTACACATCTCTACAATCATGTTGAACCACATGTATGTCAAATAAAAACTTCAAACTCCAGCAGGAGCAGGATGTAGACAGATGTTGACGGTCATGAAGTTTTATTCTGTTTCCTCTGACAGTCAACATGTTAACACTAGAGAACCATTACCAAAACAAAAGGTGCAAATGAACCGAGTGGTTTACTGTACACACTTTGACTTTCATCACAGCTGTCACACATCAACCTGTCCTCACTCACAATAGATATGTCAAATTTACTCACTCTATAGTCATATCCTGTCAAACTCACGTGAATACTGTCAGGTTTGAGCCGAGTAGAGGCGTGGTATAGAACAAAAAAAAGCTATATCTTCACCAAAACTAAAATATATTATTTCTGCAATAAAAAAAGTGGTTTAAACATTATTTTACACTTCCTTCTGACACACATGCCAAACGTTTATTTATCCCTAAAGAAAAAAGGAGGGTCTTTAAGATGAATAGTCACGTAGCAGCACACATATGTAATCAATGTTAACCATTTTAAGATTTCTCTCGTTTTTACATTTTACATGACAAACATGCTTTCAAATATTTAGGGTTCACACATTTATATATATATATATATTTAATTGTTTTAATTTTACGGGTAAGAATATTGGCAAAATGTCTCAGAATTAGATTATTTTCAATCTAGCAACATTTAGCTTGAGCTAAATATTAGCGAGTCAGTCTTCCACTAGTGCTTCGAATTTTGAATACAAGATGTGTAGTTATTTGGTACAAATTTGCATTGCTTTTTTTGAAACCTGGGCTGTTCCAGCACTGGTGCTTTTACAGAACCTTTGGTTAATATTAGTGTATATTCTTCTAGCCATGGTGTAGGTGAAGGTCAAGGTAAACCAAAGAGTGTAAATGCTGGTGAAAAACACGTGACATAAATTACACACAACCTAGTTTTTGTTCCATGAGTCAGTGGAGTTTTGCATCACTCCGTCTGCGGTACTGGTAATGGACTCAGCTGCACGACATGTTATTGAAACACCCCACAAAACAAAACAAAAAAACAGATTACTGGTTACTTAATAAAACAATGCATTGAACACACTCACAGTGTCACTGGTTCGATTCTATAATTATCACATCAAACTCCATTACCAACCGACTACAGCATGTAAGAAAACCAGTTTGAAGGGTGGCAGGATTCTAGGCAGAGCACGTACTGTAGCAGCACATTAAAAAAACAGAGCGGCTCCTCATCTCTCATTCCATCTTGTTCACATCATGTGAACACTGCAATACAGCCCTGAATTCAAATAACTCAACTCTGCAGAGTTATTTGAATGCAGGGCACGTCCTTATTTATAATTAGTTTGAATTGCATATTATTTGTTGTTTGGTGTATGACCAGGCTGATTAATGTATAAAAGTACACACAGAGTCTGCAGCAGCTGCCAGGGAGGGATAGAAAATACTGGGGAAAAAAACTCAATACATTTGTTCTGATGCTCATTTATCCAAGTTAAAGTTGTCATTGGTAGATTGTTTGCTTATTAATGTTACTCAACCTCAGAGTGTTTGTAGGCAACTGTTAGCCGCTCTGTCAGTGAGCAGGTCTTGAAAAACTCATTAAACTTACTGGATGCTAGTCAGGAATTTGGTTTCCAACTGAAACCCAATCCACCCTGTGCCTGGAAGTGTGCAGGACAACACTGCAGATATGAGCTTGTTTTAATTATAAAATGCTTCAGATAATTACCTATCTAAAGTCAGGGTGGAAGTACCTGTTTGAGTGCATCACGTGTGCTTTGCCCAAGTTTGTCAGGGAATTTAACAGTAAAGTCTAGGATCATGTCACCCCTCTTCTCGGGACACTTGGACACTGGAAGACCTTCTCCCACAATGCGCTTTTTCATTCCAGGTTTGACAACGTCTCTGGAGTTCACAGTGATGGTCCGGCCATCCAGCGTAGGGGCATTGACTGTGCATCCACACAGGGCCTTGAGAAGAACAACACATAGGACACACAGGAGCCAGATGTTAAACAGGTGAATACACATGTATGCCAACATCTTTCAACATCCAAATTAGCTAGCCCCTGCTAGGATGGATGTCAGGATGTCAGTGACAGCATCCCTTGCAGTATACATCATCTATTTAAATATATGATATTAAGCATGTTGCTCACGTACTTCTCTGAGTGATATTTTTGCAGGGTAGATGATGTCAGAACCCTCTCTTCTGAACACTGGGTGTGGTTTATCCTTCACCACAAACACAATGTCTGCTGGAATGTTCATCGGAGTTTCATCTCCTTCCCTGGGAAATGTGATCTTGGTCCCCTCCTTCCATCCACGTTTGATGTCAACTGTTAAAATCTTGTCCTCATTACGCATGGTGCAGCCGTCCGGATTGAGTCTCTTGCGAGAAATCTTCATCTTTTTGGTGCAGCCAGAGAAAACCTCCTCCAGACTCACCTTCAGCTCGTGCAACACTGGCGGATCCTTCTTCTTCTCGCGTGCTCTGTGCGGACCTCCAGTGTGGTGTTTAAATGATCTGTGAAACCCACCCATGCCCCCCAGTCCTCCCATGCCAAATGGGGTGAAGGGGTCACTGATGTCCATGTCATCATCTCCATCATGAGGGAAGAAATGATCGAAAGGGCTGCGGCCTCCGAAGAACTCGGCAAAGATTGCATGAGGGTCTCCTTGGAAGGTGTAGTTGTAGCCTGTGGGAGCGGTGTGTCCTCCACCTCCACCACCTACTGATCCTTTTAATCCTACAAAACAAATGAGTCAGAGCTTTATAAATCAAACATATGGGTTTAATCTAAATGCTTTAATTGAGGAGTCACTGGTGGAAGTTCCAGACAAGGACCCAGCATTAAACAGCATAGCAGCAAAGAAAAAAATAACATTTCGTGAAAATACTGGCCATCTACTCAACAGACAAAATTTCAATAATTAAAGTTCCCTACCATCATGTCATTGTGACTGATTTTTAATATTCCAATCCTGCCCTGTTTGCAGTCATTTATTTATTTGAGGAGATCATTCTTTTATTTATTTTTTATTTACATTATTGGGTATAAATGATTGCTAGTCAAAATTTCGGAAGCATTTATGCAACGTGTTAGTCATCAGTAAACTTTTTTTTATATATGGATTTAGCCGCCAAAAACGGTGTCTTCATTACAAATCAGACTGTCCAGACCCAGTCTTTATGACTATAAAGACTGGGATCAGTAATAAATAAGCAGGCTGAAGCGGGGACCCTACTCAACCGCTGCACAAGCAGCAGACATCCATACAGATGTAGCTGAATTACTGTGTCAACGTATAGGCAAGACGAGACGACACTAATCAAACGACAATGAGTGCATTTACCTTCTTCCCCGAATCGATCATAAATGTCCTTCTTCTTGGCATCGCTGAGGACATCGTAGGCTTCAGCGATCTCCTTGAATTTATCTTCTGCTCCAGGTGACTTGTTCTTGTCAGGGTGGAAGCGCAGGGCCTGTTTTCTGTATGCCTTTTTAATCTCGTCCTCGGACGCACCTCTGGCTATCCCTAACACTTTATAATAGTCTTTACCCATTACAAAAAAACACTTACAATCTCTCCCACCTCACAAAAACATAATTTACAGAACTCACATGTGTACCTACGTCTGCACCTTGACAGCCAAATTCAAAGGCTATATTGCTCTGAAAGAGCAGGCAAACCTCCGGTGCGGCTGGTTAGCTCTCGGTCAAATTTAGCGTTCCTTCTTTTAAACAAAATAGTGAATAAGTTTTACTGATTAAACAAAATCAAACACAAATTGCCACACCGAGACAGACTATTGGTAAAGCAGCAGCCCCGTGTCACGACCGAGTCGTAAAATTGGTGGTGGCAGAAACTTCTGGAAGAAGCTGATGCTGCTGCTGTAGCGGGTCATCACTGCAGACCCAAGAGCGTTCACATTTTAGTATTTCCGGTTTCGCTCTTGCCACAACGGAAATGCTAATATAGTGCGCTCCTCTTGTAAAGGTAAAGGTCAATTTATTTTTTTTATACCGCAAGGTAGCCTTTATTAGGTATATCGGACTTTTAATATGCTAAAAATAATTTAAACTAATTAGATATAGTTGAAAACCAATGTTCAAATCAATGATTCAACTTTTTAAATGTGCTTTAATATCAATTTCTAGAATGTTCATCCTAATAAAAAAGTTGGCCTGTTAAAGTACTTACTGTAATTTATTTTATATGTCATGTTAACAGATAAGTATTGTTAAAGCACAGTATGAAACCACCTTCGACTTTAGCCTCTTGTAGTGATTGTTTGTAAATGAAACTCCTGTACATTCATCTATAGCAAAGATATTTACATAGAAAATTATCCAACACTCAAACAGTGATACTTCTGCTGTTGGTCTGGATCACTGGATATAAATAGACTCCAGAATATAGACCTGCAGTTGGCTCGGTGCAATGATTGAGTTGACCCTGTGTGATGAAAGATATGTCTGATCTTCTCCCAACCATCATTGTTTATACTTCTCCCTGCCACAAAGCTCAGTGAGGTAGGGTCTTTTTCCTAGCTAGACCTGAACCACACACAAGCACAGAAATAAATGTGTCTCTTTATTTTCAGTAGGTCACGAAAAGACAAGAATACCGGCCTCACAGGCGGTCTGGGTGAGGGAGGGGGAACAGCATGTCGGCATGTGGAGATCTTTCATCTCAGGGATCAGACTTTTAATGGGGCCCACCTCTCTGTGACTAAGTGAGGAGCAGAGCTAACAGAAGTTGTGTCCAATACAGTGCATCTAACAACAGCACACTGGTATCTGACACTAAGTCAGAACTGTAGGCCAATGTGGCTTCCCAAGGTTACTGAGCTGCTGCAGAGCAAATCAGGCAACTTATATTTAGCCTTGTAAATGGTGCACTATGGATTATGTCTTAGGCCTCTCCGGTTTCGTCTTCAGTGCATTTTGTTGCTGGAGGAGGGTGGGCGTGGGGGTGTTGGTATTGTGGATTGAGAAGAGGCTGATATTCAGGTGAGGTGCATGTTCACTTCAGCTTCTTTGATCAGCACTCCTCCCACGTGAACTCACTCTTTTTCTCACTCACTTTACCAACCTCTGCTCCGGAGAAAATTGCTTTTGGCTCCACATATTTCCCTGTCAGTCTTCCTCTGGAAGTGAAAGGCTATTCCGAGGGTGTGGAAGACACCAGAGAAGACACACAGCAGTTGGAGTGTAGAGGGAGAGCAGAGGGCACAGAGAGCTTCACCAGACTTACCCAGGATTATTTTAGGTGGCCAGCGAGGACCAGGATCAAACTTTACCATGGACAAACTCGCCTTAGAGGCAAAGGGGGTGGCTACCTCTGCTGAGTCTGAGAAGAAAGCTGCACCAAGGACAAAACCTAAAACTCCAAAAAAGCCCAAAAGGACTGTTTTCTTTGAGGTGGAGATTATTGACCTAAAGACTAAGGAGAAACTTTTGCTTCTAGACAAAGTAAGTGTCGCCACAATGAAGAGCCTCTTGGTAAATGATATTCAATATTAGGAGCCAAACAATATTCCTGGATCATTGATATTGGGTGTAATGAAGGGTGCTGGTCCTGTCTTTTTTATGCTTGAAAGATCTGCTGCCCAAACCCTTTTTTCAATACTAAAGACTAGAATTCAGTCAAAGGAATACAAAGGATTTGGTTTAAAAAATATAACTGCAACATTTTTATGTATCAAAAGTCAGATGGTGCAAATGAAAATTGGAAACTGAAAGTTGTGGAAAAAGTGAAAATAATATATAAAATATGTAAATATAAGCTGCATAGTAAGTAAGCATCTATGCCATGCAGCCCTACAAGATAATATGTCGCAGATAGTAACAATATTTAAATATTAGCAGTCAAAGACCAAAAAGTACAGTTAGTAAAGAATAAATTATCTAAAAATTGTCTAAGTTATGCGGTAGAAAATAAGACTAGCACAAAGGTGACCAAAACTATCACATTTAATTGAAACCATAGCAACAACATATTTTAGAGAAGTTAATTGTTAGTATGATTTTAAAAAGTTAAATGTTGGTGAGTAATTCAGCCATAAATAGCCTAAATTAAAGAATTTACCGAAATGCAGGTAACTTTGTCTTTTAAATAGAGAGGTGGGAATACATTTGTCACCCAGACATGTGCTGCATGGAGAGTAGTAGACAGACAGAAAGACAGACAGAGAGCAGTATACAGTAATAAACAGTTCAACCCCGATGTCCAGTCACATCAAGACAAGGGTCGTGTTTCAGATGACAACTGTACAATGCAAGATGGTCAAATTCCCAGTGGACATCTGGAGGGTTGACGACTTGTGCTGGTTTATTTTTAGCTCTAGAGTGTCTTGTAAGAATTGTGTATAACAGCCAGCAAATGAACACTGCTGCTAATAATAACACCGCCTATGTTTTGACCACAGGTGGAGCCAACTGCCACTATTTTGGATATTAAATCCTTATTTCACAAATCCTGTAAGTTTATTCATCAGATTATTGACTTCATTGTTTCCCAAATATTGGATGCACATTTACCCGACGTGAAGGTCATGTTTGTTTCTGACAGATCCAAAATGGTATCCAGCCAGACAGTCCCTGCGTTTGGACCCAAGTACGTGTTGATGGTGTTGGTACAACAACCTGCTGATCTCTGTCAAACAGTCAGTGTGGTCGTGTGACATGTGTCCCATGTTGTGTGGTCTCTTCTGTCATGTGTCTCAGAGGCCAAGTGTCTCAGGGACGAGGATGTTCTTCAGACACTTCCTGTGGGAACCACCACAAGCTTTTACTTCTGTGACCTCGGACCTCAGGTCACATGGGGAACGGTGAGTGTGTTGCATTGCATTTGGCCTGTGTAATGAGAATATACATCGCACAAATCTATCTATCTATCTATCTATCTATCTGTCTATCTATCTGTCTATCTATCTATCTATCTATCTATCTATCTATCTATCTATCTATCTATCTATCTATCTATCTATCTATCTATCTGTCTATCTATCTGTCTATCTATCTATCGTTGGTCTTTTTGTGGGTGGAGCTTTTGCACATTGTTGGTCAGTCACTGTCTGATTCTCCTCACCATGGGTGTTTTCCAGCAGGCTGGTTTAGCAGAAACACACTCTTTGTCTACATAGCAACAATCTGTAATTTGTCCTGAACCAGTCTTGCCAGAGTTCTGTTGGAAAATCCATGGAGGTTGTCAAATGTGTGTGGTTGATTTATTCCATTCACACACTTCTTACTCTCGTGGCCACTCAATAGCAGTTGGATGAGGACTGGAGTGACACAACAGAGGTGCTTTCCCCTGTCCATTCTTCATCCCCTCTGTTGCACTGCCCCTCATGTGTCCTACAGTATATAATCTCATGGCCCCATTTCTGCCAAAGGTGTTTATCCCTTTGACCTATCACTCGCTTTCCATGGCACCTCTTTACTCTCTTGCCCACGGACTCCTCACATTCCCCTGTTGACACAACCTTCAGCTCCCCACCAGGCTTCTGACTGGTCCCAGGGTGGGTGGAGCAGTGTGAAGGGTCCCAGCAGAGATCACCAGTAACTGAGGCCAAGGCCTGCGGTCAAAATGCTGAATCAGGGATCAGTTTCACTGTCAGCTGTGCTGCTCCACTTGATCACATCATTAATGGAAAGCTGGAATAACAAGTTGTTTTAGTGGCTCCACCGTCCTAATGTTACTAACCAGTGTTGTTGAGCTGAACTCAACAGTTCAGTAGAAGTTAGAACCCTTAACCAAACAGGAAACAGAGGTTATGCTGCTGCTGATGATATGACATTAAAATGTCTGCCTTTGTTCACTGAAAAGCAGATAGAAACAGAGGAGTGCTTCCTCGCAGCATACAGACAAGCCTTTATTTACGTTGCTTTCTTCACAATCTAGACAGATATGCATTGATGAATGTTATTTTTTATATTCAGAGGAAATAAATGTTTGTGCTGAAGCAGCAGTAGGGTGCAATTATAAGGCAGAAGGGAGTAGACAAGTGACAGAGCATAAAACGGGGGCTGAGATAAAATGCAGTGACTAATAAAAAAAATGTTAAAAACCTTGCAAGTGGTCCTGGTTGGACCATCCTCATACATGTTGGAAAAAAACCATGCCTCAAAAATCACCTAGTTTTCTAGAAGATATCTTTAAATATTGTGAGGCTTGAATCAGATTTGCTTCCTGTTCTCACCCAAAATGAAGATAAAACAATGCAATTTTAAAACATACAGTGTACTGTCATAACATTGTAACCACAGAGAATAGCAAGTAGCTAACCTGTTAACTTTTTAATGTACAACTGGTAGCTTAAAATACCTAACAACTACTTCACTATAGTGCTAGATGCTAGCTAATCTGCTAAAGGCTAACAGGCTCATAATGAGAATGTAGCATCTGTTTATGTAGTGCAGTAGTTTATTTACATTTACTGGTGAGGCTGGTGGAGATTAACCAGCTTTTCTGTCTTAGAGGTCAGACAGTTTCTCCAGGAGGAAGTATTCTGCCCTGTAAAACGACACACGTTCACATAATTGGCATGTGTGGAATTCAGTCCGCACTGCCAACACCAATTGACACTGGTTTGTATTCTGATGTGTCCTTTTTTTAAAAAAATTGCATGACTCAGAATAATACATATATCTAATCAGGGACTGCATAATCAGGTGACAGATTTGACCTGAAATATTAGATGTGAGTCATATGGATATGAATAACCTGAGCCATGTTAGTCTGAAGGGAGGGAGAGAGGAATAAGACTCAAGACAAAGAATAACAAAAGCTTGATGTTAATTTAATGGCCTTTTTTTTTTTGCTCATGTTTTTATTTCCTGTTGTGCGTCCGTCAGCCAGAGGAGAAATATTTAAAACCCTGTCTTTGTGTCTCAGGTGTTCCTGACAGAGTGTGCAGGTCCACTGATCATCTACCTTATGTTCTACTTCCGCCTCCCCTTCATCTACTCTCCAAAGTATGACTTCACCAGCAGCAAGCAGTGGGTCGTACAGTGAGTGTCACCCTGCTGCTGTTTCCATGGGTCTATGTGTGAACGTCACTGCAGCGAATCCCAAAATCCCGGGCTTTGCACAGATGTCTCATCTGCATGACAGACACTCGTGAAGCGTACTGTTATTTTCACACTCATGCACGGCCAAGTGTAATGGACTGGAGGTGGACAATGAATCAAAACTTAATGTGGGTTCATTGTTGATGTGTGTTTGTTGCAGTTTGGCCTGCGTGTGTCACTCCCTCCACTACATTAAGAGGATTCTGGAGACCTTGTTTGTCCATCGTATCTCCCATGGGACCATGCCTCTCCGAAACATATTTAAGGTCAGGAAGCGACGGATTTCAACCGATACGCTCAACTACACTTACACACAAAGACTTATCTTAATAAACGTACTATAGCACACTCTCTATTCCAGAACTGTGGCTATTACTGGTGCTCTGCTGCCTGGATGGCATACTACATTAACCACCCTCTCTACACCCCTCCTGGTAAGTGCTGACCTCCGCGATTTTCTCTCCTACTCATCACATGCATTTCTTTAATGTATTTTTTTTCCTTTCTCTGTAACACTCAGAATACGGGCAGCAGCAGGTGAATATAGGGCTTTATATCTTTGCGGTAAGTTTGGCTTCAGTACAGATTCCAGATTTTGGGACCTGTCCAAATTGCACTCATTAATGTTCATCTTGGGTTTCTTTGAACTCACAGTTTTGTCAACTAGGGAATTTTTCCATCCACGTCACCCTGCGTAACCTCAAAAACCAAGGTGAGCACAGTGTAACAGTGATTAATGATGTTAATTAATGCAAATTGATTAAAATCAGTGGGAAAAGGACAAAAACTAAAGGACAATTCCAGCAAAAACTTATTGGACTAACATGTATATATGTTAATAAATCAAGTGTAAGAAATTTAATTTGTCAGATGGAAATGCAGTTTTGTTTGTTAATAAATATATTTAAATATATATTTATAAATTGATTCTGCTTATAGGTTTGAAAAACAAGAAGATTCCCTACCCGACCAAAAATCCTTTCACATGGATTTTCTGGTTGGTCTCATGTCCAAACTACACGTATGAGGTAAGAACAAATCCAGATCCACCCTTAAATACTTCCATCCAGATCAGTGTTTAAAGATAGTGCTACTGGCTGAGGTGACACTGCTGTGGCTGTTTAGCTTAGCTCTGAGCTCCGACTGGTCCATGTTCCATGTTCTATGTTCCAGCTCTGACTGTCCTGATGGAAACTTAATGACAAATAATGACAAATAACACAGTTAAATAAAATAAACAAACAAAAAGAAAGAGATGTAAAATAGCTGACAGGGCTGGGTGTTACACCTGCTTCTTCTTCCATGGATTTGAATGACACTTGCCATCCGTTGAGCTACATTACTGCCACCTACTGGGTTTTTTTCTACTGGTAAACGTTGTCACTCAGACGTTCTGGTGGCTTCTACCTTAAAAAAAAAGAAAATAGAGGTAAGGGTCACTGCAGATGAACACAAAACCATACACTTACAGCTCATATAGTACTACATGTATTTTTGTGGATTTAGAGTAAAGTTTCCAGGAAGTACCTGCGTACCTTTAAGTAGTTCAATATTTGGACTCACTCTGATATGTGGACACTATTATTGTATGAGATGCTGCCCTCTTCTTGGATACAGCTGGGCTCCTGGATCGGCTTCACGGTGATGACCCAGTGTGTGCCTGTGGCTCTCTTCACTCTGGTGGCCTTCATCCAGATGACCGTGTGGGCCAAAGGCAAACACCGCAGCTACTTAAAGGAGTTCAGAGATTATCCGACGCTGCGCTCCTCCATACTCCCATTCATCCTGTAGAGCCAGTGGCCAACACAGCACACAAACCGGGTCCTTCAGAAGTGCCCCCTCCATCTGTGTGCCCGTCAGAAAGCATGTGCCGGGGGTTTGATGTGTGGATGGATGAACTGACTGTTGAAGTGCACAGGAAGAGTAACATGCAGAAAAGTCTTAATTTAATGTTGTTTGTGAACATTTAAAGAATAAAGATTAAAAATGTCCTTTTTTATTTTGCTACTTTGATAAGGAGTTTTGTTTGCATTACTTACACCGTCAGTGCAGTTTTCAAACAAGGCCAGCACACCGTCACTGATTATACTAATCTGACTGAGCTCCTCTGCCAACACAGCAATGTATTTTACATTACTGTAATGCACAGTAATGTAAAATAAATACATTTTCTCTTAGGGTGGCAAAGATGTGGCATGGCGTTTCGACATGGGGGTTGGAGGTTAGATGCTCAGAAAAGTGTCAGCAACTTAAGATGACCGACCATACTGTATCCTGTCTCCCCTAGTGGAAATCACGAGTTTGGCAGGTGACACCACTTTTAAATTGTGTGTGAATGTGTGTGATGTTGTCTCACTGAAATATTTCAGCGGCCCCCTCCCTCTGCCCACCGCCCAGCTCCACCACCGTACGGCAGCGCTGTCATAGCAGAGCTGCATTAGTAGTTATTTGTGATGAGGATAAACCTTTTCCTGTTTTAGTCTGTGCATGACTCAAGTGAATTTCTGCAGGAGGAAAACCAGCCAGAAGGAAAAACACCACTGATAACATGTACGGACATGTCTTTGTTAAATACATCTGTTACCACCACTGAGAGGACTGTACTGTCACAGCTTCTCAGCTAAAAGTGCTAAAACTGCCCAGTTTGAGTCTGTTTCAGTTTGTACCAGAATGACACACAACTAAATTATAATAATAATAAAAAAAATTCCACTTCCAGAGTAAATAATGAAGAGGACGCGTTTCTACAACAAGGTTAATTATGCCCACCATGTGTTTACAGCAAGACGATCTAAAGTCCGACCCCGGGGGCCGATTGCAGCTGTTATCCAGGTTTAATGTGACCCACGCTTTCCTTTCAAATTGTAAATTGTATCACTTTAGTCATTTTTATTACTTTTTTGTAGCTACATTACTGCTGTGTTTATAGATATGCCTTCTTAGGTTTTAAGATTTCACACACACACACACACACAGCATAATAACAGCATTACATCTGTGCAGGATCCACATCTCTGTATGTTAGTGAATTAACTTAGCCATGTGTTAAAGGAGTGAAATGACTTTATGTATATTATGGGATTTTCCGACAGGTTAAATATTTAAATCCGGCATTAGTGTGATTTAATGAGAGGTGGGGGTGAACAGAGACATAAGCTTTATTTGTGTGAAGTGGAGCAGGAACACTGGAGATGTGTACCACATCATATGGAATGTTACAAGTCATGTGGCCCACTAAGGTCTCAACACAAAGAGATGAACGTGAGGAGCTCATACAGGGAAGAGGTGACGTGACAGAACATTGTACTGAGTGAACAGGTCAGCTCTGTGAACGGGAACTGAGCGGCTGTGATGAACTTTAAAACTATAATCCCAGGATTCCGCCACGTCGTACCATCATTCCCAGTAGAAAAGTACATTTGTTGAGGCTGCACATCAACTGGTCACATGAATCTGACAATGTTCCCAGAAGTTGACTGCATTTAAATGGACCACATTCATTTTAAAAGATAAAACAAGAACCGAGATGACAAAACATATTCCCTCCACAGCCACCAGGGGAGGCATTATCTTGAAGCGAACTCTCAGACAAACGTGAACTAACATTTGCAGCTACTGGTGACCCAATGACTCAGGCGTCTGACTTTTGTCCATAGGTCATTTGTCTTCCTGCAGCACTTTTGATTCCATTTAGAGGTCGTGCACATCACATGTGCACGCCGTTGATCTGTTTCTGAACAGCAAGTGGCATAAACCATGAAAATGAAGACGACTGAACTTAAACATCGTACGATGGACCCAAAACCTTGACAACACTTTGCAACCGTCGTGTCTGTAAACATTACAGCCCATAGGTGGCGCACTTGGTGAAAGGTCTACTCCTCTTCACCGGCTACATCGGCCATACCTCCTCCTGCGGGAAGGCCGCTGCTCCTCCATGTTGAACAACAAAACTCTGAACGAAGCAGATTTTGGACACATGGGTGAAATGGCAACGGCGTGAAAACTAAGGACCGTGATGAGAGGTAGGATGACTGTCTTTCAGTTTCTTGGTCATTGTCACAGTGAAAGTTCATTCCACCACAGCCTCTCCCCCACTCACCTCCCACATATACAGTATATGGAGGTGTGTGGTAGGGATCCAGATGGGAGAGGGCTCTGCATGCATGTTTGGGTCAATGCAGCATTTTCTGTCTGTTTGTCTGATGGCCATCCACGTCTCAGAGGTCTTCGTACTCCAGGAAGTGCGTCCTCTGCAGCACCTTCACGTGACGTTCGTAGATTTTGAGGGCGGGACCCAGTCGGATGGAGAGACCGGTCAACACGTCGCTGCGTTGCATTAGGAGAAGGGACTTCCCATCGATCTCCTGGTGGGGAGAGAGGAACATGTAGCAGGAAGTGAAATTAGTTCAAATCATCAGAGATTTTTTTCCCCTACTTCAAGAAATGATTTGGAGCAGCAGCAGTTATCATTGCACAACCGGTGGTGGTCACAACAAAGAGCTCCCTGACATATCCCCATATAATACTTTCTGGACCAAACTCACACTTAGACTTTATAGAAATTAAATAAAACCATAAATATTAAATGTATTTACTTAATTGCAGTACTTTTTTCCCGTTTTTGCCTTGACATCAATGTTTATTTACATTACATACTCTATGCAGTTCTAACGTACAATACATTCGGTGGCTGTCAAGTTTCAATGAGCATCTAGCACCACCTGTGGTGGCACGTGGTGGTGCACCCACCTGTGTCCTGAATGCCACAGCCTGCTCGGGGAAGCCTGCAGCAGAGAAGTAACTGGCCACATCTGCCACGCTCCACTGCAACAGATTCTGGCTCATCTTCTCCTTCTTCACAGAACTGGAATCAAAAGGAATAAAAAAAAAATTTGTTAGTGGGTTACTGAACCTCTTAGACTCATCATTGTTTATACTAAAGTAATTAACTGAGTAACAAAACCCTAATGAAGTTAAGAAGATTTTATTTTTTAAGAATGTCCTGAAGGACAAAAAAAAAACATGGTGGAGACAATTAAAGACACGTTCGGATAAATGTGCTAGAACAATCCACTCACACGTCATCACCATTGTCACCGTTCACCAGACTCTCTTCAGCTTTTTTGAAAGGTGACTCGTCTGAGTTCTTTTTCATCGGACCTGCAACCAAAATGAAACACGTGTGTGTTATACATGAGCAAAAAAACCCAAAACAAAACAAAACAGCAGCTCATCAGTGGACAATGTGACACCTTGAAGAAGAAATCACAATCACGGACAGTGTTTGTTTGTTGAACGGATAATTGTGAAAAAGAAAATGAAAAAAAAAACTGTTCAAGTTCAGTTTAAAACTGTCCAGGGCTTCACCTGGTCCAATGACTGCTGGGACTGAGTGAAAAGCATTAAGCAGTAGAAGAAAAATGAAGATCTGGAAGTTTCCTGCTGTCTGACTCCTCTGTATGTTGGGTTTTTGGATCGGTACACTTTTATCTTTATTTTCCAATAATGAACAATTAACAAGCTCTAGGTGTCGGAAAATGTGACTCACACAGATGAACAGATGTAATCCATGGAGAAAAGTCATAAAGAAAGTGTTCTGTCAAACATTTTTCCAACCCAATGTTCCACATTTATACTTCCTGATGTTTTAAATTTGCTGTTTCACATCCTTGACATTTACTGACGATGAGATGTTTAACAAACAGCAGCAGGGTTTAAATGGGAATTACATTTTGCAACAGATGGTTGAAATATCTCTTAGACTTTTACAGAGTACAGTGAGTGTGTAATAAATGTAAATAAAAGTGCACATGCACGTACACAATAGGCACTCCTCCTCTCATGTTCTATGAATGCTGACACAATTCACAAAGACATAAAGTGCATTTTTTTTTCTTTTTTTGCAGGTCAATTACTTTTTCAAGACATCTTTGTCTGGCAGAAAAATAAATATGAATAATAAAAATGGAATAAACGAAAGTTAAGGAGGTACAGTATGTTTTTTCTGTGTAACTGGTAACAGGTTTCAGTATCATAATTGGGTATAAAGGATGATCTACCAATGGCTCAGATGCGTTATAGAGGCTGGGTCATTTTTATTGGTACTGACCCTTAGAAAAAAAAAATATTATTTATGATTATTTGCAATTTACTAATTATTAGTTATGCTTGTATTTTTATTTTTAAATAAAAACAACAACATAAAGTTTGGTTACAGTCCAATGATAAGTATGGATTCATGGCAACAGCAGTAGATGTAATGATTGCACAAAAAGTTCAATAAAGTATTATTATTGTTTAGTTATTTTTAGAATTGAAAAGTCATTTTTTCTACGCTGAACTTTCCTCCAACGGACCTTAGTTTATATTCAACGTAGGAAATGGAGGTCAATTATTTTCCTTGTCCTTTTTATGATAAACAAGTACCAAAGGTGAAGTACCAAAGTAAACGTTGTTGTTTATGTTGCAGATTTTAATGTGTTTTTTTTAATACATAAACAAACCACAGTTCCGGAAGTGAGGTTTGTTTACGTTTAGTGCCGCACACACCGACAGCTGTTTGAAACCATCTGCTTATTATAAGGTGGAGCAGCAGAAAATTGACATCCATCAGGTCCATGCTGCAACATTATGTAAGGACAGCGTGTTCTGAGTGACAGGTTATTGTATAACAGTCGGAGGGAGCACCACCTGGTTGGGAGGTGGCAGAACAAGCTAGTGAAACATTCGAAACATCTTGAGTCAGCCTCAAGGCTACAAGTCGCAGGAGAAGACCATACAACAGCATGTAACTACCACGACGACAACAACGTCATTAGTGTGTTTGTTTTATCAGGTGTTATTTCCAAATTAGGGCAACGCTGGAGTGACATTTTGGTTCACTGTGAAGCTGATGCACGCTACACTGCAGATGAGTTTAAAAATAAGGGGCGGTGTATAACTCACTGTTGTTGTCAGCCGGTGGAGACAGAGTCTGTGGTCGTCCGTCCGGGCCGTTCTTGCTCTCCTCCTTCACCCAAGACAAACATGAAATGTGGAAGCGTTAGACAGGGAAGCGGAGACACGGAGGAAGCCAGAGCTGTACAGGAGGTTGTTTGGGTTTGTCACAGGAGGATCACAGATTAATTACCACACGTGCTGCATAGTCTGGTACCAGCTGGTCAGACAAACGACTGCTGTCCTCCACCTTGGCTCCATCTTCTTTCTTTGTGTTGTTCTTCACAGCAGAGGGGCTGCTGGTCACAGGCTGGACCGCTGGCTTTGTGGCGGCTTCTAACACAGCGCAAAAATAATAAGAAAAACAAACAGAATTACTACACTGAGGTCAACCATACTGTAGTCTTCGTTTTCATCTCTGACCAGTTATTTTTGTTACATTTCTGGCTAGATTTCCACCCTGACCCTGCTGTATCTGGTGTATTTTCGATGGCAACCATGCTGTGTGGTTTTTTTTTAATTCAATTTATTTCATTCATTCATGTCATTTTTTTAAAACTGCTTGTCATAGAAACCTGCACAATTTAACTTTTAGTCATTTTCTTTTTTACCTTGTTTCTTTAGCCAACATATACTTCCCTTTGTACTCTGCACACTTCTGGAATGCATTTGTATTTGGCTTAACTGAAAATAGTATTGTATCTAAATATTTCTTTGAAAAATGAAAATGTTCAGAACTAAGCAGAGAGAGCTCCATGATGCTGCTGTGTTTCAGTCTGTAACTGTGATTGTGTGATTGTGTGTGTGTGTGTGTGTGAGTACCTTTCTCTTTCTGTGTTCCTGGGTGCTGGTGCTCTGCTGGGCAGACTGTAGAATCATAAGCCCAGTCATTGTTTGTGAGGGCCCTGGGGCTGGAGGGGGGCAAGGAGCTGGGCCTCTCACCAGCCTTCTGGAAAGAGACACAGTCCAGCCCCGTGCCTGGACCAGCCACAGAGTTCAGGGCAGGCCGAGTGCCCGAGGGGGAGGAGGGAGCGGAGACGGCTCGCACAGCTACACAGTGCACGGCAGCGTCTTCGTACGTGTGGCCACTAGGGGAAGGTCTGTCCTGGCCGTCCTGGCTCTCATCAGCGCCCTCTTCATCTGCATTACTGTCCGTGTCCATGGCCATGATGGGGTCACCCTGGGGAACGGGAGTAATTACCTTACGTGCAACAGATCCAACTGGGTTTTATAGCTAAGCTTCACAATAAAGTAAGATATTACACAGAGGGTCACAACCTCTGCAGCTACAAGGACCAGACAGCTGTTGTAAGAAACGCAAATCCTATTTCTCACACACGTGGTGTAATAACAGTGCAGTTTGCTGCTGTATCACAGCTTCCTTGTCTTGTTGGCTGTGTCAAGCCTTTGACATCACTGCTTCACACAAACATGTACATAAAACGCATCTACAGTATATTCAGTTTGTCTAGGTTTTTTATTCCTTTTCTATGTATGATTTTCAACATTTCTTGGTAGTGAATTTATCACAGTGAATACAGGTATAGTTTGTACTATCTTCCAACTTTGAATTCAGTCCGTGTACACAGTCTGTGCTGCATATGTGGATACATTTTGTACGAAATACTACGTCTCAGTTCCACTTGTAGGAACATCCCTTCTACAATCTAAATCCCTGCTTGGGTTTTTAACAATAAAGCTGCTTTCTCAGAGGCAGCCATCTTGTTGTCAACAGCACGGAATATAAAGTGATTTAACTGGATTTTTAAGGAAAATTACATCATTTTTGTAGGCAGCTGCCAACTTCTAGGACATGTACTACAATTTTCTGGGATAGTCAACCAGTAATGGACTAAGTGGTTCAGGTCAGGATAGGCACAGATTGGTGCTATAGTCTTTTGGGTACATCTAAAGTACTATTCCTTTATAGATGTGGATACTCTGATGAAAAGCCGTAGATTGTTTGCTGTTTCACCGATGCTTGATCCTTGATCTTCTTCAACTAACTAACTTCGGGTGTGTGGCCCACAAAGAAACATTTCATATTACTGTTTTTGTTTTTCCGTTTCTTGAACACTAATTTCAACAGAAGTATTATTTGGAGAACTTACAAATGTATTAGCTATGACCAGGGATGGAACTGGTGATTTTCCTCTTGTAAGGCAAGAGCATTAACCACTCCATCACTATGTGGCCCAGTTTATAAATCCTCTTATAATTTAAACTTTTACTCTTTTTTTTTTTGTAGCAGACCTTAGCTCAGGCTTGTGTGTACCCTGATTGAGAACACTATAAAAATGATAATAATGATGGTTGATGTTCACAGTGTTTCCTGCATCAGTGTGAATAGGGAACACGGAGGGCCATTAGTGAGCCTCTAACTTTATTATTTTAACAGAAACCTGATCCTTGCAGCCCGTGTAGCTGCTACTTATTGAAGGCGTCACAGAAAAACACGCTCACACGAATGTCGCAATTTGACCGCTGCGCTGGTGAAATATTGCCTCGGAATTCCTCTGTCCCTGTCCGCGGTGCAGTGTGTGCTCCCTGCGCGGACTGTCACACCGGGCTTCCGCACAGGAGAACTGATGGACGCTGCTCTGAGGCAGCAGAAGTTATTTTAACAAACGCACTCTCCTCCTCTGCTGTTTCCTCGTCGACGGCGGCCCGAGTGAAAAATTACCTTGTGTGCGACTGACTGCGTGTCCGAGGCTCAGCCGTGGAGCAGCGGAGCGCACCGAAGCCCGCCCCGCTCCTGTGCAAAGAGCCGCTTCTACGGCAGTCAAGTCGAGCCATCGCGCCGCAATTCACACAAGTTTGGGCCACAAAAGACGCAGTCACAGAATCACAAAGCCGAACCGCAGCGACGAGGGTCCGTGGCTCGGCTGCAACACGAGTTCAGTGCGGCTTCACAAACAAGCACATAAAGAGGACGCGCTCGGTGCGTCTCAGCGGCCTCACGGTTTCAACATTTCACACAGAGAGGAAAAAAACGGACCGACGGGATGTGTGTGTGCATGCGTGCGTGTGGATGTGTGTGCGTGCGTGTGTGTGTTTTCTCTAAAATTTCCACCAAAGTGCGCATGGAGTTGTGGAGCCGCGGTGAAGACCTCGCCATTGTGTCTGTGCTTTTTTTTTTTTTTTTTTTTTAACGGAGCGCACCCCTCCCCCGGGC